GAGGCTGTCTAAACATTTAATGACCAAGTTTCAGAGTTGTCTAGATCTCAGTGTGTGAAGTTGATTTGTTAACAAAGTTCAAAGGAAATTAAAACTTTAAATAATTGCTTAGTTTTAAAACTGGAACAAATATAAACAGGATCCGAGACTAAACTATTAAACTAGAACAACACTGGAAATAACATTGATTTCCTATAATATAAAAATATCCATTAATCCCGCTGGGTTCTGCAGCTATCTATATAGATACTTTGTTTGTTTTTTGTCTGTCTTTTTGTATCCAATAAAGGTCAAAATGGCTGAACCGAGAGGGTCCAAATTTTGTGTGGGACATCACGTGACCCCTGGGAAGGTTTGTGTGATGAAAATACTTGAAATGTGCCTCCAAAAAAATTTTATTTTTATTAAATTTTTAAAATCCACGAATTCTTTTTTAATCCGCAAAATTTTTTGTTTTGTTTCCCAATTTATACAATGAGAAAATGTTCACAATTGAATTAGAAGATTTCGCGCCCATCTTAAAACCTATAAGTGTAGTTATTTATATACCTGTATATATACAGAGACAATTAGATACTGTAGATAGTGTATAGAGATTATGTTTACAATACTATTTAACATTTTTACTAACATATCTGATATTCTGCATGACAGTTTAGTGAGACTAGTTGTAGTGCTGGTCTAAGCCATTCACCAAAAGAATTATAAGAATGCTTCGATGAAATTGTACTTGCACTTCAAAAATTAACTAAGGCTTTTTAATAGTTTACAAAACTAAGCTTTACAACATTTAAAATTTAGCTTTTATTTATATAATCTATATAATAAAACAAGACATCCGTGTATATATATATATATATGTTGCCTTGCCTATAGTCGGGCAAATGGCCGGACCGATTGGACTGAATTTTTTTGTGGACACTCATGGGTGGCCGGGGGATGTTATAGGCTAAAAAATTAAACATTTTTTTTCCACAACATTTTTTAGCATTTCTTTTTAAATTTTTTTTTCAAATTTTTTTCACGGGCAACGCTGGGCCCTTTAGCCAGGAAAATTGGCCTTTTATCTGACTTGGAATGCACAAACCATAAACTCCAAAATGTGCTGTTATGTAAGAATGAAGAATTGAAACATGTTTATTAAAACCTTAAAATATTTTTATGGAATTAAGATCTCTGATTTAAAAATGTATTTCTAGGTTTTACAGATATAATGACTGGCGAATATAAAGCTGAATAAAAGTCACCTTTGTTTAATATTTTTATGATTAATGTAGAAATATTGTGATTTCTTATTTTGCCGTTTATCAATGATATATCTTCATGTAACATTTTCCTATTTGTAACATTTATAAAATACTTGGAGAGGTTTCTGATGGAAAGAAGTCCTACAGACGGGTTTCATTTTACTCTTTATGATAGCTGTACAGTGTACAATATACATATAGTGAGTATAAAACGGGACAGCGGTATTTATTATACAAAATTTTCTGAATTTTTGTTTGCTTAGGATTGGGGCTATTTACATCTATAGCCTAATTGTTAGCTATAGCTGGGCAAACGGCGGGACCAATTTTTCTTTAAGAAAAGAAATGTTACGGCCAACGCCGGGCACTTGAGCCAGCGTTAAATGTGCAATATAAAAAAATGCCTTTTTGTTTGGTGTACAAATGTTTATTTGTTAAACTGTCAAAGAAAACAGAAAAGAGTTAAACATAATTAGTACAACAAAGATAAAACCCAACTTGAAAAGCTCTTAAGCTGTACACGCCTTATTTTGGATTCACTCTAAGCATTTGATAATGATTTATATCAAAATACGGTGTCTAAATTCTTATGTTTATGGAGCACTCTGTATATTGGAGGGATTTAACAAAATGCTTAATTGTATAAAATAGTTAGAAGTAAGAAGACAGTTCTATTTCCTGCAGTTCCTTTCAAACTTTTACATTAGAAATTTTAACATCAGAGCGGTGAATACATAGAGGAATAATAAGAGTTTCCCTCGGTATGAATATTTTGAAAAAGAGTCAAATTTTTATATAAATTTTCATATATTATACGCAGTACATCAAAACCATACATTATGTTTCCTGAGCTGATCCCTTTGGAATTGGATATCCTTAATCCCGATCAGTTTATTAATCTGGAAATTAATAAACTGAGGAGAACAAGCATTATATAATCTGGAGATTAAGCATTGATCTCGATATCCACCATTCTAAAGCTTTCAGCTCTTGACAATCCATTAAGTTCTTTTTGTTGAACTAAATGGCAATTTTTGGAATTAATAGAACTCTATTTATTTACTACTCTGTGATTCTGATAGTGGATTAAAGTATCTACTTTCTAAATATCCCAGAATTAGATTTGTATGCTCTAGAAGAGAATGTGCTGATGTATCACACACAATTTTGAAAAAAATCCTTAGTTTTGGAAGTAATTCACAGAATTTGAAATATTTTCGCTTACATGTAGTTTATTATAGATCATTCTATACAACACAAAAAAAATTCCAAACAGAACTTAAAAAATATCAAACACTGTTTTTTTCAATTCTGCTTTTTTCTAGGTTGAGAATGATTTCTTCTCCTGATCCAAGTTGCACTAAACCAGTATCCCGACCTAGCAGCTTTAAATCAGCATTAACACCTTTAAACTCGACTCCCCAAACCTCATCTAAAGAAACTAGTCGACCTGCAACTCCTATTTCTGGTCCTGACTCTCATAGCACTAGCCTACTTGGCTCCAGGCACAACAGCGATCAGAGCTCTACTCCAACCACTTCTAGAACTTATGATGCAACCTATACCAGCCCTAGAAGTATACATGTAAATGAAACTAGTCCTAGATCTCATACAAACAGTCCTAGAGCTCAAGGAACAAATCCGTTCATAGGCCGAACTTCTACCCCAGCAATTCCTAGAGGTCAAACTACCAATCTAGCTAGTCCTAGAGGTCAAACTACCAATACAGATAGTCCTAGACGTCAAACTACCAATACAGATAGTCCTAGAGGTCAAACTACCAATACAGATAGTCCTAGAGGTCAAACTACCAATCCTAGAGGTCAAACTACCAGTCCAGCTAGTCCTAGAAGTCAAAATACCAATACAGATAGTCCGAAAGGTCAAACTACCAATCTAGCTAGTCCTAGAAGTCAAACTACCAATCCTACTAGTCCTAGAGGTGAAGATACCAATCTAGCTAGTCCTAGAGGTCAGACTACCAATCCAGCTAGTCCTAAAGGTCAATCTACCAATCAAGATAGTCCTAGAGGTCAAGCCAAAAACCCCGCTTGTCCTAGGGGTCAGATTACGAACACATTCAGCCATATTGGCCAAACTGCAAACCCAAACAATCCTGGTCGTCAAAAACCCGATCCAACAAGTTCTATGAGAAAGACTACAGATCCATCAAGTCTTAGAGGTCAAACTGCAAACCCAAATACTACCAACCCAACTAGCCATAGAGACCAAACTATTGAGCCAACTGGTCCTAAAGGTAAAAATACAATCCTGACATGTCCTGCAGGTCAGACTACGAACCCAACAAGCCTAAGAGGTCAAATAACATCCCCTCACAGTCCTAGAGTTCAAAATTCTAAACCACTCAGTGATAGAAATCAAGCTTCTACCCCATCTAGTCCTAGAGGCCAATCTACAAACCCAACCGGCAATAGAGGTCAGAATTCAAACCCAACCAGTCCAAGGAATCAAACTTCAGTACAACAATATTCCAGGGGTCACACTACAACCCTACAACACTACAAACCAAGAGTAGAAAAACTTGAACCTAGTCAATTCAGTAGTTCGCGATCTCAAGGAGGAAATAATCCGTCCTCCTCCCATCCTCCTCTTGAGAATATTATATCGACCTCGACCCCGCACACTCCGCCTTCGTCACCAGCTAGGCCTCCTTGTCCATTTAGTCCACTTCATTCCGGTGGAGTACCTCAGGTAAACATTCATTATTCCGGTGGAGTACCTCAGGTAAACATTCATTATTCCGGTGGAGTACCTCAGGTAAACATTCATTATTCTGGTGGAGTACCTCAGGTTAGCATTTATTATTCCGGTGGAGTACCTCAGGTAAACATTCATTATTCCGGTGGATTACCGCAGGTTAACATTCATTATTCCGATGGAGTACCTCAGGTAAACATTCACTATTCCGGTGGAGTACCTTAGGTTAACGTTCATTATTCCATGGAGTACCTCAGGTAAATATTCATTATTCCGGTGGAGTGCCTCAGGTTAGCATTCAATATTCCGGTGGATTACCGCAGAGGTTAACATTCATTATTCCAGTGAGTATCCTTTAAACATTCATTATTCCGGTGGAGTACCTTAGGTTAATATTCATTATTCCAGTGGAGTACCTCAGGTAAACATTCATTATTCCGGTGGAGTACCTCAGGTAAACATTCATTATTCCGGTGGAGTACCTCAGGTTAACATTCATTATTCCGGTGGATTGCCGCAGGTTAACATTCTTTATTCCAGTGGAGTACCGCAGGTAAACATTCATTATTCCGGTGGAGTACCTCAGGTAAACTTTCATTATTCCGATGGAGTACCTCAGGTTAACATTCATTATTCCGGTGGAGTATAAAACTCATAATATTTATCAGCAACATTTAACATTGTCGTTTCCTTGGAGAAAAAAGAATTTAGTATTGCACATTTTTTGTCAAAGAAACTTTGAAGTTTTTAGCATTTGATGTAAAAATCTCTTTTATTTCTATTCATTACTTCACTTATTGAAGAGCTATTGACAAGAACAAAAATGTTTAAAATTTCTAATATGTACCCGGATAAATTTTCTTTTATTTATTTGTCGTAAAATAAAATCTAGAGGAACTACGAGGTCACAAACTTTAACCAATAATTTAATTTTTCTTTATCCTTCTGTTTAGTTTGCCGTGGGAACACTAACATATTCAGAATATGCAGTAGATTCAATATTAAAACATTCTTTGTGCTGTTCTTTTAAACATTCATGATCCAACAGAAAGAAAAATACTTTTTTATCTAATCGACAACATGACATTTTAAAAGTTTAAAATTTACAATAAATAATCTCGTAAAAGTGTAACATGAAATATTCATAGGTTTATCTAGGTTCATATCAACGATGGAGGAGAAACCCCGTCCTATCCCAGAAAACAAGGAGTCGCGAGCATAGCGAGTGCTAGAAAGACATCTTCTTCTCATGGGTAGCATTTTAAAATATTATTTCTTGGTTAGAACAGTTGCTTCTCTTTTATTTTCTTAATGCAAAATTTTGAATTTCAACTCATAAACCTGACCAGTATACGGCACTCTGATTGGCGGGAGTTCTTTTGACGTAATACGGATTTATAAATAATATCATCAATTATATCTATTAGGTTTCTCTGGGATATCTTCGTTTTCAGATTGGTTGCGGATAAAAAAAACAGAAATACAAACAATGAACTATAACTTTATGTACAATAGATAAATAATAGAATACGCCCCTCCAATACCATTGTCTCGATCCCTTCCTCTCCCTCGCTAAATCTTTCTTCCCCTTGGTCCCTTTGTTCCCACTTGCTCCCTTTTCCCCCTTAACCCCTTCTCTGCTTCTTCTTGATCCCCCTTGCTCCCTCTGTGCTCCCCCTTCTCCCCGTGCCCCCCCTTTCCCCCTTTCTCCCTTTTCTCTCATGCTCCCCCTTTCTCCTTCTTTCTCCCCCTTGCTCCCCTTTTCTCCCTCTTGCTCTCCTTGCCCCCCTCCCTTTCTTCACCTGTCCCCTTGCTCCCACTTTTTCCACCTTGCTCCCCCTTGCTCTCACTATCTCAACCTTTCTCCCCCTTGCTCTTTCCCCCTCCCTTTCTTCACCTTTCTCCCCTTGCTCCCAGTTTTTCCAACTTGCTCCCCCTTGCTCCCCTTTTCTCCCCCTTGCTCTCCTTGCCCCCCTCCCTTTCTTCACCTTTCTCCCCTTGCTCCCGCTTGTTCCCCCTTTCTCCCCCTAGCTCCGCTTTGCTTCCTTCCCCTTCCTCCAAAGAATCCTCCCCCCACCCGCTTTAACTATTTATATTTGGCCAAGGAAGTGAAGAAATCAAGGACAACATCTTTTTCTGGTAAAAACTATTCAGTTCGCACTCACTTTATTCGCCAAGATATATATTGAACTATAAATATTAAAGGGAGTGTCTAAAGGTTATTCAATACACAATCCATTTTCTCTTAGATCCTTGTAGTAAACGATGTAATGTAATTAATTATACATATATCTATTTTTAATGGGTACATGACACGAAAATGTCATATCGGATATTTCCTTTTTCTTCACCGCTTACATGACAGTCTCTGTTTCTAGAACAAAGAAAAGGGGGGGGGGGGGTTATTGATCAACTATTTTAGGAAAAATTTCTAATTACTAATGTGCAAAATGTGAATGTGCATAATGTGCGTCAAATTATCTTCCAGGAAAAATAGTTACTTTCTCAACTATTAGAAAATTAGAGTTTGTTGCAAAGACTCAATTCCTTTCCACTGAATGTCAGTTTGCCAATTTGTTGCAAAAACTCCTGAGAAAAGTTGGATTTCTTGATTTCTGTTTACTTTAGAGAAGCGTCCCAACCCCTGCAAGTTGCTGACTCCAGGTCCATCATGGAGCAGGGGTTCCAACCTTATCATTCATCCTCAAACCAACACAATCTTCATCCGTTCAGTGTATGTATAATACAGAGTGTCCCATATGATATTGGATTATCTCCAAGCTTACAAAGCCAAAATACGCACATAATGCTCGCAAAACCTAGTATTTTCTGCACTGCATGCAAATCTTTATATTAGCAGTATACAATTTTTTTTAACTGATTCGTTCATTTTAGATTTTCTGATTAGTCCCGCGGAAATCGCAATTTAAAGCTATAAACACAATCCAATATTATATGGGACTTCCTGCCCCTGTACTATCATAGTGAGGTCCAGAAAACCCTGGAATAAATGTCGCCTATTTCTTTCAGTTTAATTTTCTTTAAAAATGTCGTAAAATTGTTGCAAATATGGCAACAAATGTATCTTTAAACAAATGCATGTAACAAAGAGCCTTTTAAAAAAAGAAAACGAGAAGATTTCCACTATTTTCTAGGTCTCACTGTAATTCTATATAATTAACAAGGAAATATAAATCAGAAAACAAACAAATGTCATAAAATATTATTAATTGTTTAATTTTTCTTTTATATAACTAAACTTCAATTCAACACTTAAAAGTATAAATCTAGAAATATTTTTAAAATGTAATTCTGTTTCTTAAAAAAAGAAAAAAAATATAAAATCACTTTCTATTATTTGCCGGATATCCGGGTGTGGTACATTGTCGTTAAAGTTAGTAATAATAGGGTTAAAAGAAATTATTGACCTTGACGATATTTAGTTTGGTTTAATTATGCAGGGTGCTGAGTTTGCAGATCAGTTTGATATGTACTTGTATCAGTCCCAGGTAATGTAGGATAGATAAAACCCTGATATGTACTTGTATCAGTCCCAGGTAAAGTAGGATAGATAAAACCCTGATATGTACTTGTATCAGTCCCAAGTAATGTAGGATAGATAAAACCCTGATATTAAATGATTTTAAACGTAATTTTCAGTAAAGCTTCGTCTGAAAGTTGCCATTACTGATTCACAAAAGTTCTGAAATAGATTTTTTATCTAGCATATATCTACCCCTGTACTGAGCCCCGCAGCTCCACAGTTCCTAGTTGAACTACCTTCAGATAGTGATTCCTCCAGAAGACAGAGTAGAGCTTCAGGTAGAATAATATAAAAGGGAAAATGAGAAACTCAAATTGGTTATTCCTATTTCTTTGAAACCCGATAGTGCAAACATTTGATATTTCAAACTTAGGCTACAGAATTCATAGTTTGAAATATCAAAAATCTACAGCATGGCGTTGAACAGATATAGGGATTATAATTTATAGTTTGTTGCAAAAACTCATTTCCTTTCTCCAAAAGTCAGAACTTTTGTTTTGTGAATCAAGTCATGATCCCTATCTTATATATGTATAGTCAAACAGTGTCCAAATTTAATGAATTTAAGCCGCGTCTCAAATCCCCCCAAAACCGGTTTCAATTGAGCGCCGGCTAAAATCTTTAAAAAGTTAATACAATTTTAAGTGGAACCAACATTATTTAAGTTCAGGCTTCGATTTAAGCCGCGGCTCAAATTCTATAAATTCGGCTACTGATTAATTTAACCCCCTTTAAAGCTTTATTTCTCAAATTTAAAAGTGTCATCATTGGATTTTTAAATTAAGCATGTTCGAAGATGAACGATACTCAACACAAAATTACAAACCTCAGAATTCAATTTCAGAAAATAATTTAAAATTTTACAAATATAAACGTCATTTTTTTATACAAACATTGATCATTTGCTTTACACACTTTTTAAAACACATTAGGTCATTTATCATACATACATATGAGAAATAAAGTACGATTTTAAAGTCATCTTCAAATTTCCATGTTTTTTTGGGATTTTTTTTAACAGTTTACCATGATGTAGAAAATGTATAGTTTACATTCGGAACATCTTTAGGTTTCGTGACATTCGACCATATTGATCATAAAGTTATTAAAACAAATTTTTAAAATATAACGTTTTTTTAATTCAGATATTTACTCGTTTTTTGAAAACTCTCCGGTAGATGGTGCTCCAATATATCTTCAACCCAGTGCTGATAAACCTCTGGTAAGGTGCGCATCCTTCAGTGGACCTCTGCCCCTGGAGACTAATCTACAGCAGGAGTCCAGGAGTCCGTCCAGACCTTCATTTCTCAGTAAGTACTGGTATAATATTCTAGGTGAACTAGGAAAGCATGGTCTATGTTTGCAAATATTGTGTACTATATTATACTGAGTCTTTGAAACTAACTCTGATTTTCTAATCCATATATCTTGGCAACCTGATGTCGTAGATCTTAAATATTTCAAACTATGATTTTTGTTAGATCAAATAGTCAAAGTTTGAATTATCAAAATTTCACACCCTATGGTTGCGAAGTTATAAAGATTAGAAAATTTGAGTTTGCGGCAAAGACAAAATTCCTTTGCCATCTGAACCAGGTACGAAGCGGTTTATATTTGAATGTATACATGTATAGATGTGCCGCATACAAGAACCAGGGGAAGCAGTCTACCTGACAATATTACCCCTTTATTTGAATACATGTATAGATGTGCCGCATACAAGAACCAGGGGAAGCAGTCTACCTGACAATATTACCCCTATATTTGAATACATGTATAGATGTGCCGCACACAAGAACCAGGGGAAGCAGTTTACCTGACAATATTACCCCTATATTTGAATACATGTATAGATGTGCCGCATACAAGAACCAGGGGAAGCAGTCTACCTGACAATATACATGTATAGATGTGCCGCATACAAGAACCAGGGGAAGCAGTCTACCTGACAATATTGCCCCTGCTCAATTATATCGCCTAAGGTATTTAAGACAAATCTCACTTTTGATTTTTTAAAAGTTATTTTGATGATTTGACTGTCATAAAAATAAAACTATATTCTTTTAAACTTATATAATTTGCATAAATGTATTTTATCACGTTTAAACTAAAAATTTTCTTAATTTTTCTAAAAGATTATTACATTAAAATGTTATTCGTGTATTGATATTGTCTTGTAAAATTACCACCATTCCCTTTATGTTTGAATTATCAAAAGAAAATACGTAGAAATGTTTAATTTTATGTAAATCTTTAAGGAAAATATATTTTTTCTTAAATTATTTTATAACCAAAAATTTTAAAATAAAAATAAAAATTACTAAAATTTCAGAACATTTTCTGTAAATGGTAAGAAGATTGTTAACAAGGGAGATGTTTACAAGTCCAGAAGTAATACAAGCATTAATTCTTTAGGTTCAAGGTAAATTATAATAAATACATTAGATAATATTATTTATACTTTAAAAAAAGGAAAAGATATAAAAAATTATTATTTCACAAAGAAATTCAGATGGAATTATAAAAAAAGTAAGGAAAACTATGATTGCCAAATTCTAAGTTGAATTTTAGGTTTTTTTATTGTTCATTTATTCTGATATTAGAATTCAAGGTTAAATGCAAATTTTCATTTCAGTGTAGAGAATGTGGATTGCGAAACAAGTGCATTAAATTCTGCAGGATCATCCCTTTCTGGTACTCAAAGGTTAGTTTTGAAATAAAATGAGGTTTTATGTGTCTCATAGGTTAGTTTTGAAATAAAATGAGGTTTTATGTGTCTCATAGGTTAGTTTTATGTGTCTCATAGGTTAGTTGGACTCTTCCTTCGTAGGTGTAGTGCATTTAACCCTCATTCGTTAAATACTTAATCCATTCTAATAGGTTAGATAACTTTCACCCTCATTCGTTAAATACTTAATCCATCCTCATAGGTTAGATAACTTTCACCCTCATTCGTTAAATACTTAATCCATCCTCATAGGTTAGGCAACTTTCACCCTCATGGATTATAGTTGCGCGGATTTGGGGGGGTTCAACCTATACTTTCCGTCAAATACCGCCGCGTTCCATTATCCAATAGACAAACATTAATAATTCAATTATTCTACCTCTTCTCTATAGAATTAGATTCTCTACAGCATTAATTACTAATTATATATCTTAAACCTAATAAGAATGGTCTGATAAAGATGAATTGATGTGGATTCAAGGGGCATCTTTTAAATTTAGTATTTCTTTCTGTATACAATCTTTTTCATCATTGTCAAGATGGTTTGTTTGTTTATCGCCATTTTGTTGGATGAACAATACTGTTTAACCTTTAACAAAATGAATAAAGCAATTAATATTGTCCAATTTACCAATTCTGGTTTTATAATTTAGGGTTCTTTATTTTTAAAAAGTAAAGAGAACATTTGTGATTCATGAAAACATTAAAAAAAAATAAGCGGGGTTTAATGAAAAAATAAGGATCAATAAAGGCTGTTTTGCATCTATGTAAATATAAAAAAGAAAATCATAATTAGAACTTGATAGAGCAGTGTAGCCCAGAATGTTTAAAAACTTATTTGAATCCTTAACAATTCGCTTAGCAGCTTAAAGGACTAAGTCAGTGTTTAAAGATTTTTTCCAACATGACTTATTGACGCAATAATGGTAAAAAAAATACCCTGGTTTTCATCTTTGCAACCTGATGTCGTATACCTTTGATACGTCAACTTTCTGCTATAAAAACTCATCTTTTAAAAGATCAGGTTGCACAGACAATGGAATTTCAAAACTAAAGTTTGCAGCGAGTACTCATATCTGCATATCGTAGAAGTGATTTCTATCCATCTGTATTCTATATATTGTAGAAGTGGATCCTATCTATCTGTATAATGTAGAAGTGAATCCTATCTATCTGTATATTGTAGAAGTGGATCTATCTGTATATTGTAAAAGTGGATCCTATCTATCTGTATATTGTAGAAGTGGATCCTATCTATCCGTATATTGTAGAAGTGAATCATATCTATCTGTATATTGAAGAAGTGGATCCTATCTATCTGTATATTGTAGAAGTGAATCCTATCTATCTGTATATTGAAGAAGTGGATCCTATTTATCTGTATATTGTAGAAGTGGATCCTATCTAACTGTATATTGTAGAAGTGGATCATATATATCTGTATATTGCAGAAGTGGATCATATATATCTGTATATTGTAGAAGTGAATCCTATCTATCTGTATATTGTAGAAGTGGATCCTATCTATCTGTATATTGTAGAGGTGGATCCTATCTATCTGTATATTGCAGAAGTGGATCATATATATCTGTATATTGCAGAAGTGAATCCTATCTATCTGTATATTGTAGAAGTGGATCCTATCTATCTGTATAATGTAGAAGTGGATCCTATCTATCTGTATATTGTAGAAGTGGATCCTATCTACCTGTATATTGTAGAAGTGGATCTATCTGTATATTGTAGAAGTGAATCCTATCTATCTGTATATTGTAGAAGTGAATCTATCTGTATATTGTAGAAGTGAATCCTATCTATCTGTATATTGTAGAGGTGGATCCTATCTATCTGTATATTGCAGAAGTGAAACCTATTTATTTGTATATTGTAGAAGTGGATCCTATCGATCTGTATATTGTAGAAGTGGATCCTATTTATTTGTATATTGTAGAAGTGAATCCTATTTATTTGTGTATTTAGAAGTGAATCCTATTTATCTGTATATTCTAGAAGTGGATCCTATCTATCTGGTAGAAGCCTAGTTGCTACTCCAAACCTCTCCCGGGGTTCAAGCTGCTCAAATATATCTCCGGAGTCTAACCCTAACAAGGTCTTTAGGTAAATTAAGGATTTAAGGCTAGACAGTCCCCCCTCTCCCGATTATATGTAAGTTTTTTTCTACCTTGCAAGAATTAAAAAAAAACTTTGTACCACATTCAAACGGAAATGAAATCTCAACAAAAATTTTTCTATCTAAAAGGCAGACCACATTTTGGAAATGCCAGAAATAGGATAATTTGTGATTATCGGTTCAATTATGATACCTAGATAATTATGTTGACACACATTATTTCAAACATAGAAGACAGCCATTCAGTTTCTGTTTAATTGTCATGTCTCGCGGGACACTGGATTTTAACATAAAATCAAATTCAAATTGTTACAACTTCTTATTCCTAAGCTTGTATCTGGATACTGAGAAACCTGATATTCAAGGTTGAATATGAGATGTTACCATTTATAGAACCTTAAATCCGTTCTCATTTGAGATTTCTAATGAAAAAAATGTTTAATCCTTTTTGAAGAAAAAACTATTCTGCAGCAGACTATTCAAATGTAAAACTATGACGTCGGAAGGAGCAAGGAATCTAAATAATGAAAATATGCTTTTGGAAAGGAATGAGTTTTTGTCACAAACTCACTTTTTCTAATCTCTATATCTTTACTACCAGATGGTGTAAACCAGTGATATTTCAAACTTAGACTATTTGATCTAACAGAATTCATTATTTGAAATATTAAAGGTCTACGACATCGGGTTGCTATAGGGGGGAATCAGTTAGAGTTTGTAGCAAAAACTCAATTCCTTTATCTTAGTTTTACTTGAATTAAGAAAATTGACGTTAATTATCCCTTTCCTCTGCCTAAATTATCTTGTGGGGGGGAGGGTGCAGGGGGATTTTTATCCTGGGACCCCCCCCCCCTATTTTCTTATTCTGATATGCACCATATATGCTCTATAATGTGTAAGGCATGATCTTCTCTGGAATTATCAGACATCCACAATACACATAGTCCTATATGAAAGCGATACTGACCAGGAATATTTCTGCACTAACATCCCGGAGAAAAATGTTTTTAAAATATTTAAAAAGTGCATTCAGAGGTTGCAAATTTAACCTTGAACCTGTTCCAGACATGTCTCAGCTAATCTTTCAGCAGGACTGAATTTGTCGTCACTGTCCTGAGAACGCTCAGGCTGCTTCAAGAAAAAAAAAATCACTTTAGGACCAATGGTACAAGAATAGACAATTCATCCTTGACCAGCTTCGAGTCAAAAATCTGTGGGCTATCCTCGGTGATAAGCTCGAGGACGTCAAATCTCGACTATCCAAAATCCAGTCTCTGGAAAAAAACCTCCTAACCAAATTCTATATATTCACATGGTTGGATAAAGGCTGTAAAAAAGGCCAAAGGCTACTTTTCCGTTTTTAAAAATATGAAAATATTTTGTTTCAAGACACTGGATAACTTTTTACTAACCCGACAACCCTAAAGTTACTTTTCATTTACCGAGTATAGACAACTTCGTATACATTTATAATAGACTTGGAACCCAGTGTTGCCCAGGCTACTCATTGTTAGTCCCGCCATTTACCCGCGTTTGGTCGTAAATTACGATTTCAGCTATTTTCCCATATAAAAGTAGATCCACTCAACTTCGAATCTCAAAACAAAGCTAAGAACATTCCCGTTCTTCTCCCGAGTGTTCCAATCAAAATTTGAATTAGGATAGGACATACAAACAAACAAACAAACCTAGATTAATATATAGTTTATATATAACTATATATAAAAAGATAGATATTGTTATGATTTGTTCTAAAAGTGTATGTGGAACCTCTGATTGTGTAAAGATATGTCTGAGAGAGAAATAGTGCGATGGTCCGTGATAATATTACATCTACCACATCTACCAGAAACAATAAAGATCAATCAACCCATAGAGATAAGGATCTATAAATACACATTTGTAGAATACAACAGATTAAGATCCTGTGAAGGATGTGTATAAAGAGCTTGCTTGCAGTTTTCATTTAGAAATAAATAATGCCGCAAAATTGTGTTGAGTAAATTCGCAATTTTAGATCTACAATTGTTCATGAACGTTCATGAACGGCAGTTTGAACTGATTCAAATGTCGTCTTTATCTATCCAATCTGTGGAATTTGTATCAAGTGCAGTAACTGATATAGATCATCAAGTGATAACCTCTTTTTAAGAAGACCACTCTCTTTAAAGGGTATGCCAGGTCTCCTTGTATAGATGAGAATGCCAGGGTTCAATGCCAATATCTCAGATTAATATTTCTTTCTAAGATTTGGTTCTTGTTCTCCGGGGTTCTATTGGAAACAAACCGTCCTTCATTTATCTATTCCTTCAATCCAAACAAAATCCTCCATTCACATTTACAATCCTCAATCCACAATCCTCAATCCACAATCCTTAATCCACAATCCTCAATCCACAATCCTCAATCCACAATCCTCAATCCACATTCACATTCCTCAATCCTCAATCCACAATCCTCAATCCACAATCCTTAATCCACAATCCACAATCCACAATCCACAATCCTCAATCCTCAACCCACAATCCACAATCCTCAATCCTCAATCCACAATCCTCAATCCACAATCCTTAATCCACAATCCTCAATCCACAATCCTCAATCCACAATCCTCAATCCACAATCCTGAATCCACAATCCTCAATCCACAATCCTTAATCCACAATCCTCAATCCTCAATCCTCAATCCACAATCCTCAATCCACAATCCTCAATCCACAATCCTCAATCCACAATCCTCAATTCACAATCCACAATCCTCAATCCTCAATCCACAATCCAAATTGTTAAAATATAGCACCAATTTATTAAATTATTAATAAATGATTTACCCCTTTGCTCTAATATTAGCATTAGAATTCCCTTGAAATCGTATTTTTCACGGTTATTTTTAAATTCTTTTTATTCGTTTTTTAACCACATCTCCAAGTGTTTTTAAAATACTAGCCTTAGAGGGCGCTTCGCGCCCATCTTCTAAATTAATTGTGGATATTTTCTTTTTGTTTACATCGTAAAACAAAACAAAAATAATTCGCGGATTTTCACAAAAAATTTCGTGGATTTTCAAAATTTTAAAAAATTTAATGAAGATCGAATTTTGATGGAGACAAATATTTAAAATTTTGATCATTCATAAACCTTCCCTGGGGTCCCTAGATGTCCCACAAAAAATTTGG